AAACTTTTCTAGCTTTCTACTAGTCAGTACTTTACCAGTTCTATAACACTACCATAATGTTAAGTTGGATCCTCAAATTATAAGCTTTAAACATTAGTCAAAATTATGTATAATATCAGCCAAAATTAACCATAAATTTGCTGAGACATTCAATAAATTTTTTACCACAATTTGGTATTTAAATAGATAATCAAACAGGCGTAAAGAGTAAGCATCTCAATATAAAATGTGATATCTAACCAAATACAGAAGGCCAACATCTTCAATATAAAACTAAGAATTCAAACTGTTACAAAAAATCAGCAACCCCTAATATAGAATTTGATATATAAATAACTCAGAAACAAGAAATAAGATGTGGTATTTAGATCATATATATTTGCGATATTATATTATGATAATGAAATCATATTATCATAAAAAATATAAAAAAAATAACTAGCAGAAAAGACCTAAAAATATAGTTAGAATGAAAAAAATACACAATATAGGAAAGCGAATAGGTAATGTGATATTTAAATTATAGGTTATAGATTATATATGATAATTAGATTATATAATTTTAGATTATATGCAGTATTCAGATTATATGTGATATTTAAATTATATTTATTATTCAGATCATATGTATTATTCAGATTATATGTGTTATTCAGATCATCTGTGATACTTTAATCTAAAATAAGTGAGATATCACATATGATATGATCATATTATATGTGATATCCTATTCAAGTTATTTATAGAATATAATAAATTTTATTTATAAATCAATAAATATAATAATCAAAATAGAAGAAAGTTAATTTATTGAACAAAAATAATATAATAAATTTTTAGAATTATCACAAAAATAATATTTAAGCTTAATTTGATATCTATACATTTAAAATACAAGAAAAAAATTTTTTGGTTTGAATATTATTATTTTTTTTATTTTACGTAAAATTTATAAGTTATTCAAATTCTTTAATAATTCTGTATATATCAAAAACTTTTCTAAGTTAAACAATACAGTATTGCTAGATCTTTATTAGATTTTATATAAAAACAATTAATAAATCAAAAAATTATAATATAAAAGATTGTAATTACATTAAAAGTTTATTTAAGTTAATCTGGTATAATTATCTTCTTTCACTAGACCCACTCTTGCATATAAAATGACTACTAGAATTAATAAAAGATGTAAAAAAACTGTAATCAATATTATTTTGTTATCTCTTTTCTAAAGTAAATTCTTAAAAATAAAATAAAAAGTAATTCTTTAACTAATAGTACATATTTTCAAAGAAATAACTATAAATCTAACCATTTATACTAAAGAATTTATAAAAGAAGTAACCTAAATACAACTTTATTAAATTCTTAACAAATCAATTTTGGATTATAATAATATCACTAAATTTAAATAAAGACTTTTTAGATTATCACTTTTAATGCTAATATGTCTATCAATTTAGATTACAATTAACCCTTAACATAGGATAAAACTTAAGTCACACAGTCGATCAAATATAAAAAATATTGCATGAGATTTTGCAGCTTTCGATATTAGAGATTTATAAAAAAAAGAGCGTTATTATTTAAAAAAAAATAGTGAATATTATCATGTAAATTTGTATATTTAAAGTATATTGATTCTAGTCATCAGTTAAGATACCTCTTAATACCCATTTTTATAAACAAAATTTTGAGAAAATAAAAAAAACAGAAAAAATATATAAAGAAATGTGAAGAAAAAATATTTTAATAAAAAACAACACTGCTTAAACTTTAACTATAATTTTTATGTGAATAGGGTTGGAAAAATAAAAAAAGAAATAATTTTTAAAAGAGGATTTTTTATTTTGTTCACAGGTTAAGCTGTAATCGCTTTTAAATAAAATCTTTTTAAAGTAAAAATTCTTAGATAAAATCCAATGAAAAAAAAGGGTTTTTTTTATTTCTAAAAATTATAAAAGAATAAATCATTATAAAATATACAAAATTGTAATACAGAATCATTAAAATATACAAATCTTATAAAAAATGTATCATTTTTTTATTTGGATTTCTTATAGGAAAATTATCCTAATAATAATTATAATTATAAGATTATATATTTTTTATTAATAACTTAATAATTATTTAAGAATTTTTATAATTATAAAGGATGGTTAACATTATTGGATTATTTGAAATTATAATAATACATGACTATCTCTAATCTCTAATTCTAAGTAAACTAATTTTAATTTACCAAATCCTAATGTGATACTATAAGTTGAGGGTAGCATCTGTGACAAATAATGAGTGACAAATAGAATTTCACACCTTAAAAAAACTAAGTTATGACAGAATATTATATTAAATAATCTAGTAATGTTAACTACCCATTATTTTAAGTTAATATTATTATTTATTATTTAAATAAAAATTAAATAAATTTCTTATTATTATTTAAAGTTTATATCTTATTATATAAATAAAAATATAAGTAATGTTTGAATATAATTGGTTTCATTTAATTTAATCTTTAAAGTATTTTCAAATCAAAAGTTTTATATAGTTTTAGATATATATGATAAAACTGAAATTTCACTAATTGAAAGTTTACAATTTAAAAAAATGGTTTATTTAACATACTAAATATATATAACTTATAAAATTAAAATTATTTATTAATAGAATAAATAAGGATTTTAAAATAAAATTATTCATTTAATTGTTAAAAATTTAGATTTATATTTTAAGTTTCCTTTAAATTTATATTTAATAAGTTTATGCAAACATATTAAATTTTTTAATATATTTTATTTAAAAAATGGAAATGAACATTTTATTATAAACTCCAAAATATATTTTTTTGAATTAATATATTATTATTTTACTAAAAATCATATTTAACATATAAAATAAAAATTTATCTTGTATCTTTTTACTATAAAAAAAATATACTGATTTTTATGATTAAAAATGAATTTTTATTTTAAATATTTTTCTTAAATACTACTATATTAATGATACTTTTAGTACCCAATTACAAGGTCACGACAAGTATATAAGTGCAGATCGAAGATTCTTATAAATCACAATAAAATAAACTACAGAATATGGTTCATTCTCCACTTAAAAAAATATAATGCTTTTGCTAGTAATCGCCCTTACTATTTGACGATTTGGCTATTACGAATTAAATTCATAACTGCGTCACTATCAATTATCAATGGTCTCCCGGATCCACTAATTACATTGTATTTAGCAAATAATCACAATTACTTGGCACTTCGTGCCTCGTAACTATTAGATCTACGAGTGTAATGAAGTGCTTATTACAATTTAAATATTTTTGAAAGTGTTCTAATACTAATAAAAAGGATTCGCGCTGTCTGCGCCATACGACATGTTGAACAAATATCAACAATATAACAATAAAGCGCGGATGGATCATCAATCTTTTCTTTACCGAATATGCTAACTCGTTAATTGGTATTAAACAACGTAACTTGAATTTAAAATATTTAAAATATAAATAAGGGTGCAAATTTATTAAAATTTTTAACTAGCAAATATATAGAATTACGAATATATCGAATCATAATTTCTATAATATTAATCTTCCACAGAAAATCTAGCCTATATTTTATTATGTTTACACAAATAATATAGAATATAAAAGTTAATATGATTTGATGAAAAAAAGTTTTAGCGGCGTATAAGCGTAACGCATAAAGCACAAGCACGCCCAAAAATTTGAAATCTTATTTGACTAATTTTGGGTTTAATCGTCTATAAACTGAAAATTTGAAATTGATAAATTGATCTTTTTGCTCGATTCCTAAAAAAAGACAATTATTTGACATCAGCTTTCCAATATCATGATAATTTATTGATACTTGTGGGCTGAACGACAAATAAAAAAAAAACCTTAAATACTGATATAAATTATTAACCAAAGATAGAGAAATTAAAGTTTCACAAAGAGCAGTATTTGTTATACGAATTAGAAAGGACATGCAACATGCCATGCGTTTAATACTTTTTTGAAAGATATATCGGGATAAATTGAAATTAATAGAATAAAAAACATTTTGTACCTTCAATAGTTCATATATGTAAAAGACATGCATAATCTAGTGTTCATGCTTAATTTATTCATTCAAGCATAGTTTTTCTTGTTCAAGAACTTTTTGTATGATCAATCATAATAATTTCGTTTCATTTATAATTAAATTTAAACATGGACCCTTTCGTTTATCAAAACATAAGTGTTGATTGAGAAATAACATGATAGACCATATGAAACATAATAATCATGCCAAGTTGTGCATATAATGAAATTTTTTATGGTTGTTTTGATTTTACTTTCATTTTATGCAAATAATGAATAAAAATTGTTTATTCGCATGACCCATTTGTATATAAAAAATGATCAAACAAAATTTTCATCACAAGGTCATTATTTTTCAAAGGAAATGTATTAACGTTAACTATTCTCGAAAATATTCCCGGTTTTGAAATTATGCTAGTTATTGATCGACTAAAATATTCCGTTACATTTTTTTTTTGGTGCGACATTGTTTCCCCCCTATCTTATTTAAAATTTATACATCATTTTTGAGAATGTAACCAAACCTAAAAAAAATATAAATACATCATCATTCAGTAGAAAAAGATCCAAGTTTTGGAGCTACATGGTCGCATTGTAACCTCTTAAACTTTAAAGAAGAAATTTGGCTCTTATTTCATCCTTATAAAACTATCCTTAGTTGGATTCAGGTTTATAAAATAATAATACTTTTAAAATAAAATAAAGACGACGTCTTGCGGCTTTTTTAGTTCCAAATCTTTCATCATTTCAGTATCGATTTATTATCCCTCAGAATTTTAAAGAATATTATCACTTTCAAACAACATAAAATATCAAACGTTTTGTAGTATTCGAATTTATTATTTTTAAAAATATTACGAAGTGTTCGAGAAATGAGGAGATTTATATTACAGAAAACGTCAGTACAATGTTGGAGATTATTTCAGTTGTTATTGGTGACGGCGATTTTTGGTTTAGGTAAGTTTGGTAAATAGGTGAATTGATTAACTGCGGTAAAAAATTATTGGAGTCAAATTATTATTATTATTTTTTTTAGAATTTACACAAGTAAAAGTATTCAAATTATGGTATTATGAGGAACCGTAAGTTTTTTATAATTTATTAAATGTTCCTCGTATTTTAAATGTTTCCTGAGAATCAAATCACGTGACAACCATCAATTATTATTATAGGTCGCATGGGAGCGCATCTTATTATTGGTTAGTCATCTTCATGACTTATGCAACGCTATTATATTTCATGTCAAGCTTTTCTTATCGATGGATAACTGGACCGTATAAGAGTGAAATTTATATTGATTTGTACGTAATAACTAGAAGAAATTTGGTTTTCATTTTTATCTTTGAATATTAAATTTTTATTATTTATATAATATTTTTTTTTTTAGATTTTTATCGAATTTGTGGATTATTGTTTGTAAGTGCTCATAAATATCTATATCATGATGTTAATTGACGCATCTAACTCCTTTCATTTTGTTTTCAGCATTAATGAATATTATATCAGCATTTAATGGAGTGAAATTAACATGTGACTATCCAGAAGATATGAGTCAACGCGTTCGCACAACTCGTTGTCATCTATTCCTGTCAAGTATGTCATTAGGTTGGATAGTTACGGCCACATTCATATATTCTTCATACATTTCAATAATGAGATGGCGTAAACGACCGATTGAAGCCGTTCCACCTAAATTCATTGAACCTCCAACGGTATCGCATAGACCTGATACCTATCTTGTACAAAAGGGAATTTTGGCAGACGGACAGCCTGTATTATTTTTCCACATGGCTCAAAAAAATTCAAATTCAAATTTAACGTCGGCAAAATGGGGTGAAAGTGGAAATGTTACACCTTCTGCTACTGGCTCTAATAATGCTTCAAATAGTAATATAAATGATTACACAGGAAATCAACACACTGCTTCATCATCTAGAGCAAGTATTTATCTTCGTGGTAAAGATACCACTGAAGTATAAACTTCAATGTTTGGAATGAATAACCTTTAAAAAATGTAATCTCTAATTTTTTTTTTCACATATTTATATAATATATTATCATTACACTTTTTTTATTTTACATCTCAGAAGATTTATCATTACTTTACGTCACACATTTTATATTTAATGCTTTAAAGCTTTTATTTGGTAAATAGTATAACTGCAACATTATGATCTTGCTTCTTTTCACTTTAGCAAATTTTGTATTTATTGTTAGATTCATTTGTTTTTTGGGTTTATAGCTAATGACTTTAGTTATTTTTTCTCTTCCCTTATTTTTTTTAATGACTTAACAAAATAATTTCATTGCCTTTTATTCCTATTTGGAATCTTTAATTCATGTGTTTTTCACATTCAATTTTAATTTAATTTATTTTTGAATAAATGCATTGTCAATTTCATTTCTTACTCAATTCATTACTTGAAATTATTATCAAAATATGATTCTTTGTTTGGAAATTGTTATCCTCACAACCTTACAGAGTATTTATTATTTGTTCCTACTAAAGATAACAAACAAATCCTTTCTTTCTCTGTAGAATATTTTTCATTTCGTTTATTTATATCAGATATGTAGGATTAATTCACGGGAGTGTAATTTATTTAGTTAGTTTAAAACAAATTGAATTACGTAACCCTGCAGCTAATAAATAATGTGTAACAGGGTCCCTTCAAAATAACTCCATATTTCATTTGGGCTCTGTTGCACCAAATTAATTATATCCGAATGATAAATTTTTTTTTTTGTGCTTAATTAAGAACTAATGGGCAGAATCCGGATTAAGCATCTAATCCAAACGGATGACCCGGATATACCTTTAAATTGCTGCCTAATGATCTATATCATATTAAATTTTATGCAAGTTGAGAATCTAAAATGATTGAGAATCTACTGCGATTAATACAAAGAATCTCAATTTATTCTCAACCTTTACATTTCAAATGCTACAACATCAAGGTAATATTATGCTTTTTTTAATTTCTCCTCCAAACACTCCTCCCATCTTCATGAAGACTTGACTCATCCTTTTAAAAAAAAACAACAAAAATTTACAAGAAAAAAAACTAGTTTGATATGGATGCATTTTATTGAAGGCTTTAATGATAATAATTAATGAACCAGTTATACACTACTTAATCAAAAGTAACGGACATTCAACTTTTATTAATTATTCAAAAATGTACATAATAATACGAATTAAAATTTTAATATTTATTAGTCAAGCTATATATGTAACTAATATTTAGTAGCCCAACCATTATTTGCAATACATGCTTCAATTCTTCAGGCATACTTTCAATTAAATTTATTAAAATATTATTAGGAATTTGATTCCATTCTTCTTGTAAAGCATCTTCCAATTCCTTCATATTTTTTGCAAGTCTGAGCCATTTACTGATGTGTCTTTCCAGTTCTGACCATAAGTGTTCAATAGGATTTAAGTTAGATGACTGACTCGGCCAATTTTGATCTTTTTTGTTTTAATCCATTCTTTGACATCTTTGGCAGTATGAACAAGTGCATTGTCACCTTGGAATAAATAATCTCATCCATTAAAATCATTATTAATTAATAATAATAAATATGAGTCAAGTATTTAAATAAAATCATGATGATTCATTTTTTCTTCAACCTTTACTAATGGTCTTAATCCTTTTCCTGAAAAACAAACCCACATTATTACACCTCCGCCACCATGTTTTATTATACGAACCATGTTTTTAATATTGAATCTTATTTTCCATACATGACTTGAACTATCATTTTTAAATATTGTAAAATGATTTTTATCACTTCAAATAACTGATTTTCATTTTCTAACAGACCAATTTTTCTTCAATATACCAATTTAACTGATTTTTTCTCTGTTGAATATTAAAAAGAGGTTTAGAAGCTGAAATACAAAAAAAAATTATGTCTATGTAAACTTCTTCTGATAGTATTAGTTAAAACCTATATATCAGTTTTTTCCTTTACTTGTTTGGCTGATTGATAATTATTTTTTATACCAAATTATTTTAAAGTTTGCTGATGTTCAAAATCAAAAAGTTTCAGACGTCTTATTCATGATTGAGTTTTAAGACTTTTTTCTTACAAAAGTTTTAAACTGTATGAATAATTGATACACTAGAAATGTTAAGAATTTTAGAAATATTTTTTTTTTGTGATATCACCTTTAAAAAACCAATAATTTAATTTCATTTTAATCCTATTAGATCATATATTTTAAGTTTAAGGTAAAGCCTATTTAATTTTTGTATTTAATTTCTTAATTTTTGTTTATTTTACAAATAAATAAATATTGATATCATATTTACATAGATTATATATTATTATGTGATAAAATTTCAGTCTCTTTTATTATATACATTTTTAATAATTAATATAAATTAGATGTCTGCTACTTTTAGTTAAATAGTATAGTTTGTTAAATAATAAAGGAAAATGAAACAAAATATAATATAAAATTTAAACATAAGACATTTGAAGTAACTATTTTATGGTTTACTTATAAAATAACTAAAGATAGAAAGCAATTCAAGATACAATATTTAAATCAGTAAAATCTTTATTTTTGTTTATTATTTTTTTATATCTAATTTTATTAAAAATTATATAGGATAAATAACAAAAACTTAACATAATAAGAAAACATTAAGAAAAGTGACAAATTAACTTCAACAAGAAATTTAATTAGCGTTAGTACTTTTTCTTTCAAAAAGATTGTTTTCAGATATGGATAATCTTTTAACTGTTAAGAATATAAAATAAACTTGAATTATTTGATCATATTATATTCTTAAAAAAAAATAGCTATAATTTTAATTTTATAGCTAATTTCATAATTTATAGATATTAATAATTTTTTAGTTACATTCAGTCATAATTTATTAGTAGTTCACGAATTATAAAATTAGCTGTAATATTTTAATTACATGTAATTACTATTTTTCTATTTAAGTTTATAAGAAATAAAAATTCAATTTAAATTTTATCATAAAATAAATAGAGAGTTAAGAATATGGATAGTATTCTATTAAAATTGAGGTACAGATCATATGATTTACTATGTCTCGTAACCCACTTTTAATAGATCAGCTTCCATATATATATTATATAAATAAATCTATTAAAAAACTTATTAAACTCTAATAACTATTCATAAAATTAATAGATTTATCTAAACGTTATCCAGTTTTTTAAAAGAAATTTAATAAACAAATATAAAAATTCTTAATAGTAATAGATTTTTTTATTCAAAAAATAACTGAATATAAATATTAGCAAAAATAATACAAATAATAATGTCAAGTGTCTTATTTTAAAATTATAACTACTAATAATCTTCTATCATAACATTTTTTTTGTTTTTATTGTGCTATATCAATTTTTTATTTAAGTTTCTTTTATGTCATCCTTTATTTATCAAGTTATTTGTTGTACACATTGGAGTAGATTATCTGATACATTATTTGAATTTAGTAATATAGCATTAGTGTAACAGGTTGAAATTCAATAGGCAATGTAAACATTTCATCTGTACGTGAAATAAAAAGATTCATGCTATGTTATTTCATGCAATTTTGTCTATATGCAAAGAATGCAAAGATTATAAAGTTATTCCAATCATTCTTATTATTATTAGCAAATTTTGCTAGAGTTTCATATAGGATTCAATTATAATATTTGACTAAGCCATTAGTTTATAAATAGTATACTATAGATAATTTGTGTTTTATTTCTAATTCATCACAAAGAGAGTTTAAAATTTCATTAACAAAATGTGTTTTATGATCAGATAAAAGTTTTTTGAATATTCGTAATGACATATGATATCCTCATAAAAGAATGAACAACTAATAATGCTTTTTGATTAGGTATCGCTTTTGCTTCTAACTATTTTATTAGATAATCAATCACCATTACTATATATTTGTTTCCTTTGAAATTATTGGTAAGGATCCTACAATAATCATTTCTACTCGATCAAAGGGCTGTCCTACTTTAATTGGATATAAAGATTCAGTATATTTACTTTACCTCTTTGCTAGCATATATCACAAGCAGTGTTGGATTTGGACAAATATAATGTCTAATTGGACATATACAAGTTTATATGTCTAATTAGATAAATGTCCAACACTGATCACAAGTTTGTATATAATGTTATATATCATTGAATATTTGTGACTAGTAGTATCTAATTTTTACTCTCCAATACGTTTTATCAAGTACATAGTGTGTTCAGCTAAAGTGTCAGTATATAAATTAAAATACTTTCAATTTTATATCCTCAAATTACTTTCAAAGGTCATTGTGATTCTTGTTTATTATGCTTATATAATTGTCCATTTATGACAATAAAGAACCTTGCTTTTCATTTAATTGTTGCTTATTATTTATCCTCATTAGATCCAATTTCTAATAAAATCAAAAAAATAAATTGAATATTATTTTTAAATTACTGTAATAGAATTATAATAAACTCTTCTTATTAAAAAATATATATTTATTTACTTTAGGATTCTAATATAAAAGATATCATAATATATGTTTAGCAACATTCTTTTTTCCCTTCTTAATATAAAGATAACATAACGCATAATTAGTAAATTTTTTTACTAATCCTATACCAAATGATATTATTCTATTTAATAAATCTTTAAAATATATTTATAATTTCTTTTTTAGAAATTCTCAATTCTATATAACATAATAAATCACATAAATATAAATATAATTAATAATCTGAAATTTTTTTACAATACTAATAAATCCTATATATTTATTATAAAAAAAAAATAATATCCTATTCATTATATTATAATAATAATTATAAATCAAATATTCCAAAAATTAATTATCTTCAAAAAGATCAAAATAATCATAATCGATTTTTTCTAAATCCACATATATATTCGTATAGGAATCAAAAAAATTACTTCTATAATCTTACTTGGTATAAATTGTATTAAAT